AAAATCTAAAGATTTCAAAAGTCTGCGCCTAGCTACAAAAAGTGACTTCCATGAAATTATTTGGCTGATCCGATATAACTGATTACACTTAATGCGAGAGCAGGTGTCTAGTAATAAGACAAAAAATCCAAAAACATCCAGCCGGTTTTTCTCAACACTGGGAAATTTTTTTGCGAAGTTTTTGATTTCGTTCGAACCCAATTAACCTAATCAATGGTCGGAATAAACAATCGTCGAAACAATGAATGTTCATGATGAGTGGTCAGTTGTAATGTACTCAGGTAGAGGTCCCTTTTTAATGCAACCTTTGGAAACGATTATGTGTTAGGGACATGGAGCGACCCAAATGTGGTGAGTGTTGTGACTCAAATTAGGTATGCTGCAACATTTGGAGATCGGAAAAATCCTGCACTTTTTTGCTAGACCCAAAAAAGATATTTCACTCGCGACGTTGTGCGACCCAAAAAATGCTTGTTGCGAGCATCAAGATTCAAACAGGGTATGATGCGACTAGGCGCGAAAGAAGTCTTTTTAACAGTATTGTACGACTCGAAGAAGATATATTGCGAGTTTGCACTTCACACGCGTATTGCGCGACTTTGCAAAACTCAAAACGAGTAAAACTATATTTTATGCTTTTTATGTAAAACTTTGTAGCGACCAGAAAAAAAAATGCATAACTTTTCATTTTATGTGATTTTATTTCTCTGAACATTTATTGTCAAACAAATAGACTGCCAAATTTTCCAAGGATTTTTGTTCTTTTTTTTAACAAAAAGATCGAATTCAAAATTTATAAATGCAAAAATTTTTATAAATTGTTTTATTTCCAACCACGAAAAAACTCAAGATTGTACTAAATGGATCTCCTCGAAATTTACAATTTGCTGCAAACATTTTTTTGAGTCACTGCTGCTCAATGCTCTACTCGGAAAGAAGCTTTGAACTTTTTTGCGCAATTAAAGATGCTTTTTTTGCGCAATTTATCTCGCCCCCCGACCCATTCCGATTCATGTTGCGACTTTGAGCGCCTATTTTTAGATAGGTGTGTTGCGACTTTGTGCGACCCATATTGCGACTTTCTGCTACTCAAATGTCGGGCCGAACTATGGAACTTAGGTACATACATTCGCCCGATGTTTGAGTTCTTTCGTAGCATAAGTCACGGAACTTGGCACGGGAATATTTTTTCTATTTTTGCGTTTGCTACCATCTGTAATTTTGCTCATTAGTTTAAGCTGTAAAAATTGCGTCAATCAATAGTGACTGAAAAAAAAACGAGACTCGATTTTTCTAGATATGAACAAAATTTCCTTTCAGCTCAAAGTACAACTGAATTGTTTTGATATATTATCACAAACCACTTTCCTTTTACATATTTTTGGCACCAGAAAAACACGACTGAATGAAATATTCGTAGTAACCCTAGGGGTTGGTTGATACTCTAACAAGCTTCATTCCTTCTTAAGTAAACTACTCGCTTTGTGCTGCGAAGCAGGGGAACATTTATGAAACAAACTGTTAGCTCTAAATTTTATGACAAAACGAGACAGTTTGTTATGATAACTAGTGGCTTTAATTAGAGTATACCTCCCAGTTATGGCCTTCAGGTACCCTAAAGAAACAGCTGACTATGAATACTAATTTTTAAAACAAAAGTAATTGCAATATTCAATTGGATAAAAAATCATAAAAATAACAAACTGAATACAGCTAGTGATGCACAAAATTTTCAACTTTATTTTTAACCAAGCTGGAAAAATAGATTTTCTCTGTAAACTATCCTATGCAAAGCGCTGAATTTTGACCACCTTTTAAGGTCTATGCAGTAGTGCTCCATTTAAAAAAAAGCGTTAAGCTTTTCCTCAATAAATGAACAAAAAATGTTTTTTTTCCACCATCACCTAACAGCTATGTAAAATACAAAGTGATATAATATAATTCGCATGTAGCAAAGTATTAAATCGTTTTAACAGCATGCTGCCCCAGTTCAATTTGTAATAATTTCTAAGCCTTATTAAATGATCACTTACGCGATAATACACAAAATATATTGCGCAGTTTTTATCCCAAAATGACCAAAAATATAATTATCAAAAACCCATAATTATACAACAACTGATCACAAGTGAAACTTTTTTTTAATTTTGAGCTCAAATTAACATTACCTTTCTGTTGATTTAAAAAATTGTCAAAAATGGTTAAATGCTTAATTGAAATATTTATATTTTTCTGGAGAACGAAAACAATCTTGAGCACAAATAGTCCGTCACTGTCTTCGAAAGTCGGAAAAAAAAACAAACTGGAACAATTTCTGAACCAGATTAAAATTCCGCTTAGGTTTTAGTCCAACGAAATATACCGCGAGTTAATTCATTGTGAGACCAAACTGCATTTTGTGAATTGTGAGCGGATTCCGCCACAAGGACGCTCCCTTGGTTCTTCTTTTTTAAATTTCATTTTCTTTGATCGTTAAGGCAAAATTTCAACATCAAACCGACATAATCAAACCGACATAATCAAACCGACATAATTAAACCGTCATAACTTTGCAAACCACACCAAGCCTAAATATGCCATCCTTTCTTTGAAATTGCGAAAAAAAATTCTGTTTTGCATCAAATGAAGAAGGGATGATCATTCCTACAGATTTTGTTTTTTCTCCGAGAATGTTTTTGATAGATTCTTTCGCCCACGTTGAAAAACTGCTAAGCAATCTAAACAAGCAAATTTAAAAACTTTTCCTGCTGTCCTTTCTAACAAATTGAAAGTTTGACAAATTTAATCTACGTAACAATCTCTTCTTGACAGGAGATAGTAAAACCCCGATTTAAAAAATTCGATCGGAGACGGTTTTTGGTCTTTCTCCTTGATAATTGCGCTCAAACAATGAACCCAGCAGGCCTGGAATGAATTCATGTTTAAACACGGTGGGCCAATTTTTTTATGAAAACTCTGGTGAATAGTTTATGGCTGTTTTCTACAAACAATTGCCTAATTCTTCACACAATGTGTTGCTTCCCACATTATTTCAATTTTTTGTAATTTTTTACGAAAAAAAAGTGGCGCAATAAAATAGATTGCATAAACAATTGATTAATCCAACTATTGAAGAAAGTGCGATTTAATTTTTATGCTTGGGCTGGACTTTGTTTTATATGTTTTTTTGATCAAATGGATATAGTTGTTTTGAGCTCAAACGTAAAAAGATTTTCAACGTGTTATTTTTCTTGAAAAATTAAAATTGTTTCACTTTGAGACTACTCTCAAAATTTAAATACAAATTAAGATAACTAACGCGCGATATATTTCGTTCTGTCAATAGGCAACGAGCAAATTTATTCCTTTCGACTGAACTTGCCATGTTCTGGACTAAATTAAGCGCGCTTGAAAGATTTTTTTGAAAAATGCTGAAAGCGCTACGCAATTTATAATTTGGGGCAAATTATCTTGCTCTACAAAACTGTTCCAAATTGAATTGAGGCAAGCTGATAGTTAGTATTAATTTTCTACTAGTCAATTTTTTTGCACAATTGATGTTTGATATGGTTTAAAATTTATAGTTTTTCAAAAAAAAATTTACCAAAGGCTAGTCGATATCAATAAAGAGGCTGTCGGAACATTCATGGCTTTGCTTTGACATACGAGCAGTCGGATCTTTTTCCTCCACCCCCCCTCCCCCACCAGCGAAATTTCACTAGTAAAAAGCGCCGAGCAGTCTCGTTAAACTATAAACATGATTTTTATAGCTCAAAAAATTGCACCGGGTAAAAAAAGTAAAAGAGCCGAGTAAAAAGAGCCGAACAGTCTCGTTAAACTATAAACACGTTTTTGAAGGTTAAGCCATCGCTTTTACAGCACAAAAATCAACTGTGGTCAGAACATTCTGTGATACTTGCAAAGAAATTAGCAATTCTTGTTTGAAAATTTGACATGATTGAGTTGTCGTTGACACAACCGATCTCATGCACAATTGATTTTTTTTCTCCTAAAATAAATAAGTGAGATATTCAATTCAAGTGCTGCCTGATCAACAAGGTTTTGCCTGGATGCGAGCAGCGTTTTAAGTCCACTATAAGCAAGTTTTGAGAAAATATTGACATATGATACAAGTTTGTAAAACCGACAGTTTTTTCGACAAACGTTTGCTGATGTGGGTAGTCCTCAGTTTACTCAATTTGAATACCAATGCAAAAATTTGTATTTTTAAATGAATATGCAATGAATTATTAAATTACTAATTCATCGGAGAACGCGAGATTATATTATTAGTTTCACCAGGGGCGGATCTAGGATTTTCTCGAGGGGGGGGCGGATTTTCAAAAAATTTTCCAAAATTTTGACGACCTTTTTTTTTTTTTTAGGTCGACTAAATTGATTTTTCGAGCTCTCCCAAAGCACTGTTTTGGCCCTACTTTGGCTAAATTTTCAGCGCCGCTGGCAAATTTTTGAAAAAACAGTCAAAAAAGCCGTTTTTGGGCAATTTTTGAAAAATTTTGACAAAAAAATCGCGTTTTTTTGGCGCGCGCTCCCCCTCAAAGTTAGTATATATTGGCGCCGAAGGCGCCTTTAGAAAAATTTTAGGGTCGGTCGGCCAAAAATGGATTTCTGAAAAAGTATCAAAGGGGGGACCCTTTGGGTCGGCAGGGGGTCGAATCCCTGAGGGGGAGGCGTCCGCCCCCCCCGCCCCCCCCCCCCCTAAATCCGCCCCTGAGTTTCACTCAATGAATTAAACCTCAAAATCAAAAACTAGTTCATTATTTCATCCCTCCAAAGTTTGTGTTCCTATAGGATGGGAATTTTTTTAGGGAAATTTATTTTAGATTTCAACAAATTGTTCCCTTTTTGAAAATTATGATTTTTTCATTTATCATTCTTTATTAGCATTTGTTTACCTTTATACTTTTGTGATGAGCATAAAATTTGTGGTTTCTGCGATTTGCTGACGATTTATGAAAAGCTATCCAGCCTGTTTAAGCATAGAGTGTAAATAGACTTACGCCTTGAGGGGGACGCCTTCTGCTTGGAATCTCTGGTCGAATGTCTCCTGGGGGTCATATGGTTCTAATATTCGGTAGTGGGTGGACAGTTTCAGGCCGATACACATCAAAGGCAGCAGCGACAGGGTTGCGATGAGGAGGAAGAACCAGAATTGATTCTAAAATAATAAAAACAAATCAGTGATTTTTTTTTACATTTTTGGCACTAATTCAATTGGTTCAAACTGTGAACAAGAAGAACCAAACTGATTCTAAAACAATAAAAATATATAACTGAAACTTGATTTGTGATTTTTTGAAAAAACTATAAACTTCGATCGGTTGAAATTTCGAGCGGAAAAACAAAACAAAATTGAGCGCTTGCAATAATTAAACCTTAGTTTTAAGATTTTAATTTTAAAACTGAAATTTTAATTAAATTGATGAACTTTTAAAGGTTTGAATTGTGAGCAGAACGAACCAACACTAGTTTTAAAAAAAATAAAAAATCAGTGAGAAGAATTTCATTAAAAAGCTTTTTTTTTAACTAAAGAACTTCATATGGTTGAAATTGTGAGCAAAATAACGAAAACTTTTTAACAATGAAAAATTATATTCGTTTTAAAACTTGTTGCACTAAATAATGAATTTCAATTGATTGAAAATGTGAGCAGAAAGAACCAAAATTGGTGCTAAAATTTTTCAGCACTTGTAAATAAAAATTCAAAACTTGTTGAAAAAACGAATACAATGGTGAATATGAGCAAAATAATCGGTTTAAATTTTGGTTTAATTTTGGCTGTTATAGCCAGCAAAAAAATAAGTAATATACTCCGAGGCAGTGAACTTTGCACGTTTGAAAATATTTATTTTTCTATGAGCTAGTCTTAGTGGGCGGATATTCAACAAGCCGTCATATCTAGAAACCGCAATATCTTGAAGTCAAATTTAAAATTACATCAGAATAACGTAAATTACATCCGAATTAGTGACAAATTCATGTAACACTGACAATCTGTTGTTAGTTTGTTTAACAGTTTTAATTTCGGCTCATTGGAACGGTTTTTCTATATTTGGCTTATTAGCTCTTCGGCTTGTTGACCTACCACCTCTTAATGATAATTAAATAAATTTTTAGCGCAGAATTGACAATTTTTAACCTGAAGAAGCTGTCGTTAATTTTGATTATCTTGCATGAGAAGTGGTATTTGAAAGATATTTATTGCATGGCCACATAAATAGAATAAAAAAATTTGCAGGCCGATGTAAACAATATGCCTCATTATTAGACTCAAGTGATCAATCTCCCCCTAAAACTTAATGGCAAACTTAATTTCCATCAATTTCTGTCAAACTGAAAGGTATTGATGGAAAACCAATCATAACTTTCAAATAGACACAATTAGCTAGCTATATGATAACTGTGCTGCTAAATTTACCCGTTCTTTTTTTAAAAAAAAATGTTTCAGAATAATAAAAAAAAGAAAAGGTAAGCGGACAAAAGGACCAAGTATACTCAAATGATAAAGTTTGGAAAAAAATCTTGATTTCAGAGTGTAATAAATCAGGTTTTTAAAATTCTATTTAATTTTTAAATCAAATAGAATTTTCTTACATGCTAATTCATGCAGTACATGAAGTCACCTCAAAATAGCTCACGTTGTAAAATACCAATTTATTTAAAGCAGAAATCTGTCATTTAAACAAAAAAAACTATATATGCCGATTCGACACTGCCTACAACCCTGAGATATACATTCTGTCTGAAAAATAATCGCTTGCATGGCAAAATGTTTTTGAAACCGGTCATGTGATCTATTTCTAAATTCCATTTTTTAACACGAAGTGTGGCTTATTTCTAGTTTTTAACAATTTGATTGGACAACAAATATAATTTTCGAAAGAAATCAAGCTGTTTCGAACCCCTCACCGTCCAAAAGTTCCCCTTTAGTATTCTTTTATGACATGCGAACGACTCTTAAGTTTTTCTAAGGCCGGCTTCGGTGCCAATTTATACAAATTATGAAGGAGGCGCGTTTCAAAAAAAACGGCCTTTTTGACCTTTTTTTTCTAAAATTTGCCCGCGGCGCAATTTTCTTGGTCTGAATAGGGTCTGAAGAGAGCGCAGAATAATTGAACAATACAGGGTCTTTTTAGTGCGTTGGTAGAGCTCGGAAAATTAATTTAGTTGACCGAAGAGTTTCGAAGATTTTTGAAACTCGTCCCCCTCGAGAAAATCATAGATCCGCACCCTGGTTCGATTGCAATTTTGAAAAAAACCAATTTAATTACCATTTCCAAAATTGAAGGTCAGAATCGGGGGCGGATTTAGAATTTTTTCCAGAGGGTCGGTTTTTTTTAGATTGACCGGAAATTGATTTGCCGAGCGGTCCCAGAACCCTAGACCCTAAATTTGCGCCGCGGGCAAACTTTTGCGCCGCTTCCGGCTACATTTTTTGCGCGCCGCTCCCAGCTATATTGGGAGCGCTATTCCCTTTAAAGTATTTTATATTGGTGACGAAGGCGCGTTGGGAAAAATTAGGGTTGGTTGGTCTAAAATGGAAGTCATAAAATAAAACCAAAGGGGGAACCTTTAGTTCGTGAGGGCGTCAAATCTCTGAAGAAAAAAGGGCGTAACCCCCCTCGCCCAAATCGGCTCTTGGTCAGAATCTTTTCAAAGACGTTGTAAATTGTCCAATAAATCTGTTTAAACTATTAAATTGACTATAAGGCGGAGTGTGACTTACGTAATCAGCGAGCACTTGGTCACACGATGTCTTGAAGAGTGCCGAGTGTATCTGTGAAAGAGGTTTGCAGTGTCCGATGTTAGAGTCCACTTCCTCTCTCAGATAAGACCCGTAAGCATCGACAAAACCAGACAGACGTTTTTGGTAAGCCGATGCTGCCTATTGATAAAAAATCAGTTTCGAAACAGAATCATTATCATCATTTTTTTAAAAAAAATTTTAGTCAAATTGTTGGCGATAATCTTCCAGGTCAGGTCAACGAAATTGAACGAAGTTGGTTGGCCTGAAACTGCTTTTTGACAACTTTAAATTAAAGAATCAGTAACCAAACAGTATTTACAAAAGAAAAGAAGTTTTTTTTATTCTGTCATGGCATTAACGTAAAGACTGGGAAAGTAATGCTAAATTTTGATTAAAACTGGTTTTGAATTGGTTGATCGGAGGTGCCGTTCAACATCATTTTAGGCCGAAAAAAACCTAGAATATTGCTGTTTAAAACTGATTTTGAATTGGTTGATCGGAGGTGCCGTTCAACGTCATTTTAGACCGCTGTTTTTATCTGGGAAATAAATTATTCTCACCTTATCCCATGATGCATACGGGAACTTGGCTCTAGAAGCTTGGGCCAGATTCTCAGTGGCTTCTTTCACCAGAGCCTTCACAGTGCCGCTCGAGATGTCATAGGCCTCAAAACCACTTCCAGCATCGGCAGATGCAATTTTATCCCCATTTTGCTGAAAAATTATAATCACAGTATGATAAAAGTATATCCAGTTACTGTACCGAAATTTGTCAGACCATGGTATTTTTTTTTGGTTTGGAGTTGCAGTTTAAAAAAATTGAGGTGATAATTTCGAGTTTTTTTGGCCATTTTCTCAAGAAGCCGGCTTTGAACGAAAATAACAACAAATAGATCAAAAAAGCTAGAAAAAATTCGCTGACCACCATGCACCAAATTTGCTTATCATACAATTTCTTAAAATATTTTGTTATTAAAATGATCCCAGACGCAGTTACCATAAATGAGATTTGAAAATTACGCTTTTTTGTTTTTGATGGTAATCTCGTAAGCTTTGTATCAAATTTATCAGAATAATTTTTTCTCCAAAACTATCCTGATGTTCGAAAATTTTCAAAATTTTGTAATTTCAGCTTGCGTTTCTACATTCAAGCTATTTTTCTTCGAAGTAGTCAAAATTGGGATGAGGAAAAAATAAGCCAACTCATAGTTCCTTTTCTTCCTTTAGGGAGTTACTTTTGTGGTTGATATCATTTCAATCTGCCAATTTTTCTACAAAAAGAACCTACTCACAATTTTAGAGATTTTATCCGTGAGTTGCCCTAGTTGATTGATCATCAATTCCTGAAACAACAAAATAGTCGATGAGTTTTCAATTTCGGGTCCAATGAAACGTTTTCTAAGCCATCTGTTAATGATTTGGATATGAGCAACAATCAGCTATTTTTAATTTTCAAGTTATACTAACCCGGGTCTGTTTAAGTTTTTCCAGGTATTGCAAATTAATTTTCTCCATTTCCTTTGCGGCCTGTTGTAGCTCCAACTGTGCTTTCTGCAAAAAAAAATAAAATAAAATTGAGGTAAAAACAATATAAGATTTTGGAAATTATTAAAACTTCTGTTACCAAAATTTTTGATACACATAATCAGGGGATTTTAGGGTTCGATCCCCTCCCGACCCAAAATTTCCCCCTTTGGTACTATTTTAAAAAACCCATTTTGGGTGACTGACCTTAACACTTTTATTATATATCGCCATTGTATACTAAATTTGAGGGTGGAATGCGCGCCAAAAAACACATTTTTTCGTCAAATTATCAAAAAGTGCATAAAAACACCTTCAAAAAATTTTTTTTGAATTTTTTTTTGCAGCACAAATTTTTTTTTGTCAAAAGATGGTCTTTTTGGAGTTCTGGAAGCGCTCGGAAAATCAATTTTGTCGAGCTATAGAAAAAGGTCGACAAAATTTCAATCTTTTGAAAATCCGCTCTACCCCCTTGAGGAGTTACTAGATCCGCCTCTGTACATAAATGAATCGATTCAGAAAAGTTAAATTTTAGATTATGACTGATATTATTACCGTTAACTTCAATCGCTCATCCTTGTCTACAATTTTGTCAGCCGAGTCTGAAATGAGTTCGTCAGCGAAATTCGACAACTTGAAGCTCAGAGTTGACAATGAGTAGTCTTCGATTTCTCCCTTGTTCTAAAACAAACTTTTTAGTTACCTTTAACTATATGTTTATCGTCTTTTTTCCTTCAATTTTGCGTGGATTTTGCAACGAAAAGATCCAAAATTTGATTTTTTTCCCGAATTTTGACAAAAAATTTAAGATAAATTCTAATTGAAAAGTTTTTATACATTAGCTAGAATGTTGTCCGATCAACAATCGTGAAGATTGTCGAGATTTTCACACGCGCATTTTTGATATGACAATTTTTTCAAAAATTTTTAACTTCAAAAGTTTCAGAAGTATTTGAATCAAACAAAAAATGAGTTTTCATCCTGCTGACAATTAAAGTTTCGACCGATGCCTTGACCTTGTTCAACTCGTGTTTCACCAAAAGGCAGCAATTGGCCCCTTGTCTCTCAAGAATTGGTCTCAGAAAACGTCAGTTAAAAAACTATTCGCAAAAAAAAATCGTCATTCAAAACGTCCCTCAAAGCTTCCCAATCGAACAGAAAACTATTGCTTTCTCAAAGGCATTTGACTTGACTTTAAAGATAATTCGCCCCAAAAAAGAAGAAGCTCGCAGAAAAAAAAATTTAAACCGGTTTTGCAACGGCTAACAAGCCACACACATCTAGTTACTGCAACTAACTTCTTTCAACTCTCAGACAAATTTTACTAATTTTTGCTCGAGGGAGCACAACATTTTCTTCCTTCAGCGTTCAGTTTTTGCGTATCAAGACCAATAAATCGCTTTGACTTATTCCCTTTTTGTTAAAACCGGTTCTAATTTCAGTTTCTCAGTATAAAAGTGAAAACTTATTTTACCGTAGGATAAAAGTTGAAACAAGGCCTAGCAAGATAACTCAAAAGTGAACATTTCTTTGCGGAGACCTGAACAGTAAATTTTTGCCAGATAACCTAGCCAAGTCGATTTTTATATACAAATACTATCTCAACATGCATTGGTTTTTTTTCTAGTTTTTGTTATGAAAACAATCTATTCGAAAACCCTCGGGAATCATGAGTGTTTTCTTAAGGTGAATAAGGCTGGAGCAATTTTGTTGATTGAAACTTTGTTGAGGTTAGAAAAGATGAGAAATTGTGCAAATTTCTTTTTTTTTATCACTTGGAACCAATTGTTTAACAACTCTAACTTTTAGATTTGAAAAACCCCTTTGAGAAAATTATCAAATTTGTGTGGTCAGCAATGTCAAAAAAGAGCAAAACAGCAGCAACATGGCTAGCCAACTGAAATTTGTAAAAAAAGTAATGAACGCAACGAAACAGAAAAAAAATTACTTGTTTTTTAAAAAGTTTTCAATTTTCAAAATTTACAGAGAAAATAGATGTCTTTAAAGTTTTTTGAATTTCAAGAAAAATTTATGATTGGAGTTAATTTAAAAAAAATGCCCAATTCGAGAAAAATGAATCACTGGGTAAATTTTTTTTACGTTGGAAAATCTGAACATTAAAATTTTTGTTCGAAACTAGAAGTTGATCACATTTTTCTTGACATTAACAATTTTGCTGTTCGATAGTGGAGGTTTTTCCTTTGACGTGATTGCGGCCACATGGTTTTTTTAAATTTACCATGCTAGAAAAATGTACGTTTTGTTTTTCTAATATCAAGTCTTCAAAATATTGGCACTATCATGCAGAAAAACTACGGTTATGTACAACTTATTGACCAACTAGCTCTTGATACTAGAAAGTTTTTTTGAACCTAAAACAGAGTTTTTTAGACAGGGGCGGATAAAGGATTTTCTCGAGGGGGTGGGGCGGATTTTCAAAAAATTTTCGAAAATTTTGACCACCATTTTTCCGAGCTCTCCTAAAGCACTATAAAGACGCTGTTTTGGCCACATTTTCTGCGCCGCAGACAAATTTTTGAAAAAACAGGTCAAAAACAGGCCGTTTTTGGGCACTTTTTGGAAAATTTTGACAAAAAATCGCGTTTTTTTGGCTTGCGCTCACCCTCAAAGTTATTATATATTGGCACCGAAGGTCGGCCAATAATGGATTTCTTAAAAAGTACCAAAGGGGGGACCCTTTGGGTCGGCAGGGGGTCAAATCCCTGAAAAAAGGAAAGGGGCGTCAAAATACCAACCCCCCCCCCCTCAAATCCACCCCTGTTCAGGAATAACAGTTCCTGAATGTGCTCGCTAATCTCCAAAAAAAACTGTAAGAAGTTTCCAAAACATTTAAAACTCAAATTGTGCTATAAATTTTATACGATGTCATATATGTTCAAAATTTTTCCGCAAGCTAGCCCCCGGTAATTTTTCTCAATACCCAAAAATTTTGGACAGTTCCGTTGAACTGAAATATCTTAGTCGGTACATAGACAAACTGACTTGACATTTTTTCTCGATACCAAAAATTTTTGGATATATGTGAACGGAATATTAATCAGTGAAATCGGAACATAGACAAGAGGTACTGGACTAGTTTTTTGGGTTGGTTTATGACTCGAACCTGCTGACCAAAATTTTCTGAAAAATTTTGTATAAAAAGTAAAAAAATTGCCAAAAAATCCTCAAAACGTCTCCAGAACTCTGCGAAACTGTGCTGTAAGATGACACCAACCTTATATTAAGTGGTCTGGTAGCGAAATATCAGGCAAATTAAGTTGAGTTTTTTCATCCTCAGGTTTCTTCCGCGTGTGTTGTTGGAACTTAACCAATTTGCCTGATCCCCCACCCACCATTGGTGAAACTGAAAGCCAGTTCGCTTCGAGTAAAACAAAGCCGTTTCAGCCCGTCATATTATTGACTTCGTTGCGTGACAGTAAAGTTAAGTGGTCAGGTACGGTGATATTAAGTGAGTTAAGTTGAATTCTTTCATCCTCAGGTTTACTCCGTGTGTGTTGTTGGAGTTCAACCGACCTACTTAATTTTCCAACCCCATTGGTACTTAAGCGTAACGAAGCCGTCGCATAGGTCCCCTAAGTGTATGGTATTCATTCTAGGAGCTAGTTCTTTGGATCACGCGCTCCGAAAACTTCCCGCTCCGTCCCAGAAGCGCGTCAAAGATACTTGCTTTACGAAGCCAGGTTTAAGTTTGAACTTTAACGCTAGGGACTCTCAGAAAACAATACAGTACTACCTTCATCACTACTTGTCGCACCGTAACGACCTCGTAATTTGGCACGACGCCATAAATAACTCGATAAGTAGGCACCGCAGCAACAATAACCGCAAGCTGAGTAGTGAGCAACTTGTCAATTTGTTATTAAGGTATAGGACAAACATTTGTGCGATCGTATACTGTAGACGCAACGGAACCGAGGATATAGAGGAAAGTTTAGGTTCAACAGGTATTCTCATTCTCAACGTCGTTAAAGACTTTATCTCTAAGCGTAAGGCTAAGGACCAGGTACTAATTGAGAAGTACAAAGAGCTTCACCAGCCTCCTTCCCTTGAGTTAAAGACTCTCCTCCTTCTAAGGCGTTATAGCGCTAATCTTAACATCCTTAAGACACGTAAGAAGCGAAACCGCTTACCCCTCAAAGCTCGGAAAGCTATAAGAAATAGGCTTCAGGTAGAAGCTTTGAGACGTCAAGTTCCCCCGTCTTGTAAGCTAATGTTGATTTACTAATGCAAATTTGATTACATACCAAAACAGTATCTCATTTTATTGATTGTTTTCTATAAGTGAGCATCCGTAGAATATTGTCAATTTGTGAAAAACATGGACGAAAAATTCCAAAGTAAGATACGCAAGTTATTCGAAACCCGTCTAAATCTAGAAAATGAGCTGCTTAAAGGTCACTCATTATTACTTGAGTACATTGAGAATAATAGTCGCACTACAAAAATTGATAATGCTGTGTACAAATGTAAAATTGCGTTGGAAAAAGCTGTCGACGTCAATGAGCAATTAATTAGGTTAGCGGGAAAAACAGAAAATCCTGAAAAAATTATTGCTCAGCAAGACCTTTGGCTTAAGAAAGTAACCGAAATGAACGATAAAGTAATGCACGAAGCTCAGAGTTACAAGATGAGCCTTGAACCTTCGTCATTTCCAGCAGCCGGCATTACAGGGAGCAAGGGATCTTTACAACAAACTAGGTCTGAGACATCCTCACACTCGCACAAAACAAGTGATTCAGCAGCACGAGTATCTGAAAACAGGTCTAAGGTCTCTAATAAGTCTAAGGATAGTAGAAAGCTTGACTCACATAAGTCTGATAAATCTGCTTCCACTCGTCATACGTCGACTGTTCGCACTATGTCATCAAGTGAGAAACGGCATGAGTTAGCTTTAGTAAAACGACGCCATGAGGAGCTGGAAAGGCAGTATCAAGTATCTTTAAGACTTAAAGAGCAAGAGAACCGTCTTAAGTTTGAACAAAGTCAGCTGGAACTAGAGCAATTGGCTGAAAATCATAAAAAGCAACTAATTGAAATGGAATTGAAAGCGTTTGAACTTGAGGACAGTTCATCTGAGGTTAGCGAGAAGGTAGCGGAAAGTAACTTAACAGGAGTAAGTCAACCTATTTCAAAGGTAGCAACCGATCGAACTAATGATTGGGTAGACTCTGTTAGTTCACAAGCACCTCCCGACGTTGCTAGTGCGCCAGGTTTGCAGGCCTTCACTCATGTACCCGTTTCGTCAGGACCGACGACTTCCGCCCTCCTTGCTCATGCAATTCACACCAGTAATAGTCATAACCATGAGCACACAGCATTGAGTGACCCTGGAATCCATAGTTATGGACATCGGGCTATGCCTCAATTTGGCAGTGCAAGCCGTTTGCCATTGCAAGCTTCTGTTTCATTCCCAGCCTCTGTTCCATTCCCAGTTAACAATATGCATTCTAGTGCACACGTGCTACCACCACCGTCTGCTGTTCCTTTACAGACCATGAGTTCAAACATAACTAATGGTAGTTTTGCCATCGCGCAACCGGAATCATTACCTGTCCCAATGTTACCGGCCCAACCCGGTTCTGGTTTTGTTTCTTTGTCGCCTGCATTTGCTGGCGGTGGCTTCTCATCTTCTGGAGTAAACCCAACGCCGGTTTTCTTTT